GGCCTCATGATTCAGCTTTTCACTTAAGAGCTGAAGGTTTTGAACCAAAAGTGTTTGAAAGTAACGAAAAAAAGCTCGGTACATGCCTATATGTAGGATGTAGGAAAGAAGAAATTTTTGTATGTTGAGTGAAAGCAGGGGAAAAGAGTTTTTTCTGAATATTGCCTCCGTTTTGAGGAATATTGACAGCAATGTTAGAAAGTTAACTCGATCCATCTTAATTGATCGAAATCGAATTGATGCTTTGGCTTTTAAATATTCGTAAAAAAATGCTTGAACTTAAACCGAATTTCACATTTCTCAATATAGAACTCCTATTGGACTGGATTGGTTCAAAATTGATTATCCTCAGGTCGACTTCTGTAGGTTCAATCCAGCCTATGAGGAGCTCTGATCAGTATTCTCTTTTTCTTTTTGATTTAGTTTTGTTCAGAAAAGTTGTCTGATACGGTTCTATTGTATGGGATTAGTTGCGATTTAATTTATGGAATAAATGACTAGTACCAGCGTGGCAAGCTGACTGTCTTTGCAAAAAAAAAACATATGACTAGATAAATGCCCCATGAATAATTCAAAATCGATAATCTATGGATTGATTTTTCTAGGTCCAGCCAAGCCCGTTGGGAGATCTGGTCTTGATACTTATGAATGGTCCTGTATGTGAAATACAATGGATTACAGCAGAACTTCTGAAAAAAATGTTAAAAGTAATGTTGGAGTATTGAAATCAAGATTGATTTTTTAAAATCAAATGTACATCGTTGCTGTGAAACCTAGAAATATCTTTTATACATTATTCAGTCTCTCTCATCAGACATGGTGATAGAAAAATAATGAAAAAAAAGTTAAGCTGGTTTCTTTTTTTCAAGAAAGGCCTTTATTTTATTCTGATGTGTGAATCTTATTCAAAACACTTTGTTTGGCTTCAATTTATTACTCGCAAAAAAGGTTGCTCTGTTGAAGGTATACAAACGTATTCTATTGGTTTAAGATTGAAAATACAATTATAATATTACTGTGCACGAAGCATGCAATAGCATTAATCAAATTTCTTTCTTTTTTTGTTTTGAGATTGTGATTATGCACAAATGCGAAGAATGAAAACTTGACCTACGAACGATAGATGTTGTTTATGTTTTTTTGCACCATTACTTTTCATTAGAAGAATCATTGTTGAGAATGACGCTTACTTTGTTTTTGGCACTACTGTATAACTCAATAATCATTGTCTATGGGTCGCATTTCCTTGGTGGAACTATTACCTGGCATCCATTGAATGAATCTGCCACTGGGTCACCGGTAGCGATTGTAATAACTCAGACCTATTCATGGACATATTCACTGATCCCATGTACTACAGCCCAAATTGCTGCCGCTCAATTGATTCCTGTTGGTGGATATACTTATCTGAACACTCAAACACTTGATTGCATAAGTAATTGCAATCCTGGTGCAACTGGTTACGCTCCTCCACTTGTTAGACCAGAATGTACTGATATTTCAGCACCAGTAGGCACCACTGTTGGACAGCGTTCTGATATTGTTTATTTGCCAGCTGGGGACGATTTTTCTGCTGCTTTTCAACAAAGTGCATGGCGTCCACTAGCAACAGTTGCAAGTGCCGCCTGGTCGATTTCAACGCACATTTCTGTTAAATCAAGATCTGATAATGGCCTATATAACAATGCTCCTGTGGCAACTGTGATGTCTCCAATCCAAATTCCTGTCAATCAGCCAACAGTTATTACGGTACCTGTGGCTGATGCCGACGGTGATTCGACACGTTGTCGGTGGTCAACATCGTCAAATGGTGTCGATGAATGTGGCGGTGTATGCCCACCTAGTTCACTACCATCAGGTACTATTATCTATCCAAACTGTACTATTATCATCACTGGTAATACTGTTGGCGACTGGTTTGCTGTGACAATCATGGTGAATCTTTGTATAATTTCTGTTATTATTCATATTTACCCATTATCTCTAGGTCGAAGATTTTATCTCTTCAACGAGCATAACTCCACTCAGTACAGTACCCGTACAATTTCTCGTTCATGTTGTTGGCCCATCACCATGTGCTAATGATCCGGAAATTGATGGAATACCACTCGAGGGATCCTGTATACCTATAACAGTCGGTCAACCATTCAACTCGGTTTTGATTGCAATCAACAATTGTGGGCCAAGTGTAACTATTGTCGATATTTCAACATTATCATTTCCTGGTATTGTAAAAGGAAATCTCGTCGAATCCAATACGTCAACTTACTACAAAACGATTTCATGGACACCGACTTCATCTCAACTTGGCTATCAAGTTATGTGCGCGATGGCTTTCGATAGGTATTGAATTCATATAAAACGAGAATGACTGAATTGATTTGTGATTATCTAGTCAAAATGCACAATCAGCACAATATTGTTTCAAATTCTACGTTTCGAGAAATGGTGTTTGTGCTTGTCCTGGCGACATTTGCACGACCACAACAACAACGTCAGTTGAATAAAACCATTGATTTTAGACCTATTTGACTGATATCTTTGTTTTCAGAACGTCGACTAGTGCTACAACTTCTACCGCTACTACAAGCACGTCTGTAGAATTTTTATTTATTATTAATTTACGTTTACTTTCATTATTTATATTCTTTAGAACTACGACCACTTCTAGTGCAACAACGTGAGTAGAAAATTCATATTTCACATTAAAAAGCTGATCATGACTATTTAGTTCAACGACATCAACTACTTCGACAACCTCCACGTAAATAGAAATTGTGCAAGTTGCTTGATTATCTTTACAAATTCCTAAATTCATTCTAGGACAACAACAACTACTTCAACCACCACAACGTCAGTTTGTTTTAGATTTTCATAAATAAGTAAAATAGTTTTTTTTATCTTTAGTTCCACCACGACGACAACTTCAACGACTTCGACAACAACAACAACGACAACCGCAACGACAACAACATCAACAACAGCAACGACAACAACGAAATGTATGCCTAGATTGATCAGCATGGCTATTATACAAATATATTTTCGTTTTTCTTAGCGAACTCGACCAATTGGCCATTAATCGGCAGTATGATTGGTTTGGCTGTTCTCGGCTTATTGGCTTTGAGCTGTTGTCTTTGTTGGTGCTGTTACTGGTTAGTATAAACAATGTGCTTCACTCGTGTACGATATTCTTTTCCTATTTCAGTCGTCGATATGGTCTCGGTGGTGTATTCGAGCATACTGGCTCTTTTGAATTCTACTATATTGATCGATGCACCGATCGAAATTGTCCTTGGCATCATATTTCAGATTATAGTAATACTCTTGCTGTCGTTAGCCCCGAGTGTGTTATTTATAATTTGTTCAACAAAAGTGCAAATAACTGGAGCAAAACTCAATTATTGCCATTGGCCCGATTAACAAGTACGGCATCACATTCTGGTGAAGATCCCCGTCAACCGGCTATAACTAGAAGTCCAAACGCTGATTCATTACGGCTGTCAAGCAATCTTTCACACCGAAAACTGACCCCCAATGTATCAGTTTCGAAAGTTCGAGTGGCAGAACGAACTCTCAGCGCACCCAATCCAGGCATTAAACCACCGATTCATCAACCAGACGATGATTCAATTGGCAGCTCTCGAATTCAATCGGGAGCAAGTGGTCATGTAAAAGTATCTCGCATCAAATCGAGCGCAATGGGACGACGACGCAGTTCATGTGATGTATTGCCATCATATAATGTCCTGAAACCTGCTATGAATACAAAATTGAGACGCAACAGCGTCGGAACTGTTCATCATGTTCGAGTGGATCGAGTACAAATGGCACAAGGGACACGAAAAGATTCATTGTTATCACAATATCCTCGTCAATCGATTATTGATAGTACGATTCGATTGGATGATATTGATAAAATTTGCAAATCGGCGCGTCCATCATCAAAGACTAAGAAACATAAAGTACTTGTGAAACATGTACCTTCAGCTGATCGACAAATCTCGACGAAGGAACAGCGACCATCGCAAATTGACACTATCGATTTGTCACTGTCACATCTCATGCCACCAAAATCGACTATTCATGTTGAACGTGTATCAACTAGCAGGAAGAGGCTGAAATCAAATAACAGCACTGCTCATCTTGAATTGATTGCTGAAGAGACACATAATAGTCAAAGATCCCATACGGGACGCGCTCATTCGAGTGTTACTGTCAAAAGAATAGCACGAGCAAACACCTCTTTAGCACTAACACATCACTAGATCAACGTGCTCGCCCAAATTTCCGTGCTTGTTCTTCTTCATTTATTCTTCTCTAACAAAAAGACACCCATCCAATGCAGACATAATCCTCGATTCATGTGATTAGAAAGAAGACATTGCTTTTTGAACGTGTGCTTGTGAGTGTCGGTCACAATTACAAGAAAACTTATATGCACACCAACATCTGCACATCATAACCGTGCCCGTACTCTTTTCGGATCTTCTCTCTTTAACTGAATTGAATACATATATAAAACTAATACTATAACTATAGCTTCATCATGATACCTGTAACTTTTCGAACTTCATCAATAATGTTTTGTAGTCAAGTTCAAATTGTTTTTTTTTATACAACCATTTCTCTTCTGTATTATTCAAATACATTTTGCTACATTGTACTCGTTAGCAGACTTTACATCATAAAACGATATATTTACTCAGATTACGAATGTGAATATTTATTTAATTTGTCTGTAAAAAAGAACTCGTTTTTCAATCAGAAAATGTATTTAGAAAAATGTATTCTAGGGCATTTGTCAAAAAATCGCATTTTAAACATGAAAAACAAATGTTTCCGAATGATATTTTAAAGGCTATGATTTAAATCATCAGTAAAATAGATCAAATGATCAGTAAGCTAAATAATTATGAAATCAGTAGATTGAATGATTTACCAGTAAAATAATTGAATTATCAGTCAATTGAATGAATGATCAGTATATTAATTGAATAGTCAGTTTTTAATTAATTAGATTTGTTAATAAATTTAAAAACTAGTAAATAAAATTGATTAACAGTCGATCAAATCAAAGGGTAAGTATGGAAATTGAAATGTGTTATAGAATGATTTATTTATGATTTTTCTTCTTTCTTCTTCGCCTTTTTACTATAATGTGTACATGACCAGTACAACAGATATATATACGGTAGCGTCAAAACTGAGATACGTCCAATTTCGGATTGGCTCCGGCAAGTCTCGAGTCCGAGATTGGACATGGTCAATGCCGAATCGGATGGAGAGTATGAGTTATAACTTGAATTAGTATATAGATCGACGTCAATATCAGACTCTTATTGAGGAACTCTGATCAAGTAATAGTATTTCAGGTAATACAATCATCAATGGTCAAACTAAATGAAGATTCGAGCAGTTACGAACAGTTTTCTATTGAGACAATTCTTATGTATAGAACTGTTCACAGCTTCATGAATCCTAACGTGATTGATCAATTGATAATTGCATCCAATGATCTATGTCAATCTAGAAACTATGCAACTCATGTTTTAATCCATACTCTTCATCCAGTCTGACAATGAACACAGACGTAATTGCAGCTGGGATGCTAACATATATATCCGTTTCTTCTTTCCTTGTCTTCACCTTCAGTTTAGTGTGAACAAACAAAAACGATGGAAGTATAATGTATGGCAAAGTTGCTCAATAAGCGAGAGATTCATAATGAGAAACTTGTACGACTTCCATATTGAAATATTGCAAACCAGTAGTAGCAGCAAAAGTAGTGTCGATCGGTGAGAGAAAAAAAATGAAGTAGACCAAGAACACCAAACCTGCTCTGCTAATGCAATAACTCAATTTTCATTTTCTTTCTTATTCATTCATTCTTTGACTATATTATTTACTGTATTGTTTATTTGAATTTATTTTTCTTATGCCAAATTATACTTATTACTGGTAAAATTTATTTTTCTGCTGATAAAATCTGTATTTTTTACTAATCAAATTTGCGTCTTTTACCGATATAAATTAATCTTTTTACTGCTAAGTATCTGTAAAAAAAGATTATTTTCTTATTATTTACTGGTAATTTAGGTACTGATCATTTAATCTTTATTCTGATCATTTATATATTTTTTTATTGGTCACTTAATCTACTTTACTGATCAAATATTTTGTTTTCCTCTTTTAAATAGTGTCGGTTGGGGACAAAAGGCATGTTTCTCATAAACGCGTTCTAACAATGCTTTTAGGTGGCATTGTAGATAACAGATGATGCTTCCAAACTCAATAATAGCGTTTTGTTTCTGAAAGTTGGCGTTGAAAGGCTGTTTTATACAATTTGTTTTTCGAGGACACATTCGTGTTTGGTTGAAAACAACTATGTGACCAAGCAAGTTTATACAAACCATGCGCCGTCAAAGGCTGCTATGATTGTGTGATTTCCTATGATTAATAGACATGACGCTCTGGCATTCTTTTTATAGGTCTCTAAACAATCAAGCCTAGGGTGTAGGTGTGAGTGTGAATCTTCTTTTCATCTCATACCCACACACTTCTTTTTTTTTCGAATGATGAAGATCCCATATCTCTAGGTATCTTCGTTTCTTTTAAAATTCAAATACTACTTTGAGAGTTTATTTGAAATTTTCTCATTATTAAAAAAACAAAAAGTAGAATTCGTTTTAGCAGTTAAATGTATTTTTAATGAAAAAAATGGTTTGTAAACTAACCCAGTTGTATAATAGGCATTAATGGATCCAATTGATTTATCCCCTCTGTCATTCATTATTGATAATACATGTTTGACTGGTTTGCTGAATATCATGGTTGGTAAAAAACATATCATGCAAACAGCTTCATTCCTCTCTGATTTACATAATTCATTTTCAATCAATTCATCTGTTCCTTGCAAATCTCAAATTGATCGACATCATCCTAAAGTTCATTTATTTTTTTCTGATTTATCCATTTTACCGATTAATGTTGCAGCTAATATACGTCATCTTGAACAATATAATAAACATCAATTAATTATTAAAGCTGCTTTTATTTATTCTGTCGTTCATTGAAATCAATCACTATTTTTCATCCATTTACTCTCGATCCAGTGCGTTCTGAACATTTTTTTTAATTTAATATGTATAAATATATTGTGTTCATCAATCAATCATTCTGCATGTGGATAATTTATTAAACTATGAAAAAAATACAGAAAATATTTTAGAAGTAGTATATTTACAGCATATTGATCATAAAAACGATGAATAGATTTTTTTTTGAGTTTAATCTTTCAAATTTTCTTGGTTTAGATGATTTTCGATAGATTCATCTTATGATAAATGAAGAACACTGGAGAAAAGCACGCTTGTATATCAAGGTTTAGCATCGGCTTAAAGCATCAACTGTTGAACCTGAATCGGGCATGAAACTATCTATTGGATGGGTAAAACCATGGAGCAAAGGCGAAGAACGCTTTTATTATTTTAATATGAATATAGGCGAATCTCGCGGAGCACCGTCGATATGAAAACAGCATTGTTTTTTATCTTAAAAAAAATATCCTATTTTTCATTGTTGTCTTTGCCTTATTATAATGAATAATTCTACATGATATTGCTTTTTTTGTTGATTAGCAATATCGACTATAAAAAAACTTTCTAACGCTCTAGAAAATTTCATATTTCCTTATCCAATATTTATGTAGATATTAATAGATTTCTCATACATAAAAAAACAAAATTTAGTGTCGCTATACGCGAATAGAATGGGAATCATATCAGCATATCAGATGATCTCACGGTCAAGTTTGTTCATGATAAATAAGATCGATTTTTCCATCCTTATTAGTTAAATAATGATATTTACTGTTCTTCATCATCATCAATGATTTCAATATGAAATTTCATTTGACTGATATATTTCATTATAAGAAAAACTTCCTTTTGAAAAAAAAAAGATGTGTCATATCCACTTTACCAAGTAATTGCTTTTGTTAATTTAGTATTTGAATGAAAAGTACCTTTGATATTTCCTGAAAATAAATATTGGTNCTCTTAGTTGCACACAGCACAACGTGAGGGTGGTGGCGATGTGCGAATGGTGAAAAAGTACCGTTTGAGTAAAAGCGAATATATATCTGTAAGTTATTAAAATAGCAAGATACAGTGACTGTCCTCAGGCAAGACAAGATTATCGAGTTTCCATGGAACTCAATGTCTTGAGAAGGTCACATTTGTTTTTGTTGACATTCTCAGGTGATACTAATCTCGATTACATATATCCCGCTGGCCAAATCTCAGGTGAAAAGTCTTGAATTCTATTTTCTCGAAAGTATCTTGTTATGGATGAAAAATTTAGTAAAACAACCATAACTCAACATCATGTTGCCATGGGCCGAATCATTGAACAGGTGCACTAGTATCGAGATCTCCTCCCCTATGGTAGAAACATCAGTTCCATCTGTGACTGTCACATAGGCGGTTCCCTCGTAACTAAGCATTTTGTGTAAAAGAAAGATATTTGATATAAGGAAAATGATTTTAGTTCTAACAGTAGTTTGAAGAACTAACTAGTTTAGTAAGCGAATGCTTTTGAAGTGGTGCAGAAATAGCAATTTTTCATACTATTGTCTTCTATATGGATTTCTATAAAACTCTACAGATTATTTTCTGAAGTTAGGAGAGAAAGAGTCAAATTGTCATTGGTTTAAAAGAAGAATATTCAGACCTAGTGTCATAGGATTAGCTCTTGCTAAAGTTGTTGAAGAGAAATTATTTTCATTGTGAAAACTTTCACAATGAATTCGACACAGAAATTCTTGCACTGCGTCAGTGTCTGGTGTATAGTTCTACATTGTAATGCTTCATTTGTTTGAATAGACCCTCCCTCTGAAAGAGCATAGTACATCAAATTTAATATATCATTTTGCTTTTCTTATCAAATGAGCTCTTTTCAAAATAAACTGAGATTTTTGGAATCTCGTCATAAAAATACAAGGATAGAAAGAATACATATATTCTTCACGAAGAGTATTTGAATTATACTTGTTTATATGTCAGTCATCACTAAAACTTATCACTTACATGGAACTTTGCATACTCTTACAGATCTTTCTTGATAATACAGATTAATCCCTATTAAAAAGTATATTTAAAATGATGTATTTCATCCATCTAGTTGTTCTAGTTTGCTTATTTTCGTGTAAAATAAATATTTCTCCTTTTTCATGCAACTTTTGGAACATATATTAGAGAAAAAAATTGATTTTAGAAGAAAACTCGAACAATTGTGATTTTCGTGTGATCTATCAAAGTTTATATTCCCATCGATCATTATTTATTCTATCCATCATCAATGGCAGCATCACAATTATCGATAAGCAACTTTTATTACGCTTGCCGTAATAATGATATTGGTAAAGGGTATTGCTTTGCCTGCTGCATCATATTATGGACATTATAAAATTGTTGAATTATTATTAAAAAGAGGTGCATCACGATCAATGAAAAATAAATACAATTATATACCATATCAAGAGAGAAAAAAAGCTGAAATAAAAGAATTATTTTCATGTGAAAATGCTAATAATAGATTAGTACGAAATCTAAATAAAACAATTGAATGAATAAGAGTTGGTAAACATATTGATCAATAGACAAAAGCAATTCGGAAAATTTTAAAAGTTTATTCTGATCAAGATAAAAGTAATAAGAAGAAAATTCTAACACAAATGATTGATTTGGAGAATTACGAAGGTATTGATAAGGTTAAACAGTATTTCGATCAATCTAATGATGCAAATGATCCCAAATATATATTAAAAGCTTATACCGAACAAACCGGATTTTATCAAAGATTAAATAGAACATTAGCAAGATCACATGAATTGAATCCAAACGATGGAAATCAACATCAATTATTAGATTTTCTTAATCTGATTTGCTGTCATCCTAGTTTTCGTAATTATGAATTCCAAGATCAAGCATATCGTGGTATGAGAATGGATGCCGATGAATTAAAACAATACGACATAGGTGCTAAGATTATGATGAAATCTTTAATAAAATTCGAAAAGCTCACACAGCATTATATACAATATTTATTGTAAAAACAAATGTCATATGATTTTCATAGGAATATTGTATGTAATGTTCTGCCGATATTTATTCACACTATTCGAATGCATCTGAGAAACTGATTACAGAGTTTTGTAGAGTAAACTCTCCTCTACAAGCGTAATATGTCACATTTCTCCAGAATATAGCCATTATCAAAATGATGAGCGAAAAAAGCTTTACAAAACCTGATAAAAAGAAAATTTCCTGAGTACTATGTGTTTTTTTGGTTAACTACTCCATCGAACTCAATAATATCATTTTGTAGTCTTTGATGCCATTTTGTGGAACACATCTATTTTCGAAGAAAATAGTGAGTGTAAGTGTTAAGGTCAAGTTTTCGCGGCTCGCTCCTCACCCTTCCCCTCCCATTACAGACCTTAGCAACCGAGAATAAAAGATGTTAGATTTTCTACAGTTTTCTTTTTTGGAAAATTGATTTAGTTATAATTTTGCAAAATAATGAATATCATTATTTGGGGCTTGATTAATATATATGATAGTGTGTACAATCTGCTGTAGATATCATAAATATGTAAAACACACTTATTTGTCAATCAATTCAATAATTATAATAATAAGACTGATAAATTAAGAAAAACGAAAAATAATGAGCGAATAACAACATTGAAAACAAATAATAGGGGACCCGTAGAAAAAAATAAAAACGTTTTGTTCGAGATACAGAAATTGAAGAACTTTTTACTTCGGTGATTGATTATCCTGCAAAATCATTATAGTTTACGAAAGATTTTTCATTTCACGTTTCTTTTTGTATTAGTTTAATGAAGCTACAGAGCTTATATGATTTTCACATTTCAGCCTCAAAGGAGCTGTGCTAACAAGTTTTTTTTCTTAAGATCAGATTTTATTTGTCTTTCTTGAATTTCATATTCAAGCGCTTTTCACTTTAAACAGATATATATATATATATATATAGTACTCGACCTCTACTATACAGACATATAACTAAATAAAATTAATGTTGTGTAGCATTTATGTACTTGTCACAAGAAAAAAGTAGTACTAGAGTTTTTACGTGCACTGTATTTGGTGTTTTTTTTTCAATCACTGTGATTGTTTGTTGCAGCAGCTTTATGTGTATATCTCGAGTGGAAAACGATTGCCATTATGCAAACAAACGCAATGATACAGTCATTTTTTACCGAAGAGTTGATGCGAAAAGCAAATAGGCTGACCTTATTGAAGTGTATGAAGCAGCATTTGTGCTTGCTGTTTGTTTTTTTTGTATCATTCTTGTAGCAAAATATCTGCTGTGCGTTGCAAAGAGAGATCCAAAGAGAATTTTTCCATCTTATCTCACGGCATGTCATAAAGACAATATCACACTTACAGAACAGTTCATCAATTCGTCCATATTTCTCTATCAAAAAGGATGCTTTATCGGAACCAGTCCTTCAAACACTGAAACCAATCCTGGTACCATCAATTTGTTCAGTATAGATCTGATATCGCTCATCGTGACCTAGATAACACGTATTGTCTGCATTATTATTATTATTATTTCGATGTTTCTTTTGTGAAGGTCATGTGTGCCTCTTTAATGCATTATCATTTGATCGCCTTTCAGAACTTGTTTTCTTACAATCAATCAGATTTTAAGATTTTTTTTTCTTTTAAGAAATAAGTTTTCATAGGAAATTTCTAGTAGATGAGAAAAGCGGCAAAATTCGGATTAGTGTTTGATCAAGGTGCACACGTCTCTTTATATCGAAAGAAAGTGGGTAATATTGATGGAACCAAAAAGTATTACTTCCAAACTATGCAACAAGCAGTGATCGGACTTTTGGCATCGGTAATCAATTTTTGATCTTCACGGATACAGAAACCAGTAAAATGGCCATGGAGAATCCAACTACCAAAAATACAATAATAACCATTGAAAGATGTTAAATGAAAAAGTTCTTGATAAATACAATTTCGATTGACATAATTACCAATAGCTTCATCGATCACGGTTTCGTCATCGTTATTATACAATGTGACATTTTGACCACAACGACCGACAATTGGTTTTTTCACGTAGCCACTACGTTTCAATGCATCGGTCAGTGTCCATTCGCTACGTAGAAGATACGGATGATTCGGATACATCGACCAGAGGATTGGTAGTAGTGCTTTATTACTGGTAATGACTTTCCAGAGAGGTTCGATTACTTGAATCTGGTCATTCAGAAAAATATCACTAAGATGAGGATGTTCACCATTAGTCGGTATCCAATGTGTTTCATTGTCAACATCGAGACCACGTTCCTTTTGTGTATTAAAATAATCGTTGAAAATAGTGTCCCACATCCACAATTTCCAAACCATGATTACTATTCGACCATCGTTATCTTCAATCTTGCCATCTTTCCAATACAAATCGTCGGTCATCTTGCATAGTTTCGTGTTGATCCCGGCTTCATTCATCACTTGTTGCATATAGAGAGCGGTGAGCATTTCATCTGGATCATTATCGATTAACAGATGTACACATGATTCAATATTCATACGTTTCCAATTATGTACAAGTGCTCGATGCATTTGAAAGCCCGACAAGAATGTCGATTCGAGTTGTACGGCTTTTGCCCATTTTTCTTGAATAATCGAACATTCAAAGAGAGCAGAAGCACTATCGGCATTGTACTCGACTACTTTCAGCTGTTTACCATTGAAAGCTAGATCAAATCGACCACTCATCTCCAAATGTCTATCGTTCGTCCACGAGTAACGAATACGTGACCAGAATACTTGTGGTATACTGCAGCGTGTCATTAATTCATCGTCATTCACGACACGTTGCGTTGCTTCCATGAACATTCGATGGATTTCATTCGATGCCGTACCAATGTGAAAAAGTAGATAATTATCAATTTTGTAGTAAGGCAAATAATCAGCATCAGCTCGAGCGATATCCTCACCATTTATATCCATAAAGCACTTTTCCGCTGGGCAATTCTCGTCTAGCCAGCCATCTTTCAATTCGGAAGTCTTATTTGGAATCATACAACGTTCTAATGTACCCATTGGCCTCTGCTGCTGATATTGTTTGAGAATGACACCTAGATTCGATCCATCCAATGGTTCTAATTGATGATTATCTTCGATTTCCATCCATCCATTAACAACATTCTCATCATCTTCGATATAATAGAGGTCGTTCTTTTTTATCAATGGAAGTTCACGAGCATAATCACCAGGCCAATACTTCGAATCATGATTTTGTTCGGCAATACGAACAAAACCGGGTACTACTTCACAGATAACAGCAATGTGTCCAAATGGCTGATCCTCTGTACGCGAGAAAATCAGTATCGAATCAGCTTGTGGTTTATATGGTGAACCGTTTGGATGTGGTTTCAATGGAAAATGTTTACCGTCCGTTACTCGTTCGATGCTCTTCACATTCGTGAAAATATCGGCGGCATGACGCGCATTTTGAAAAATACATTGTTTACGAATGAAAAGCCATCGACGAGCATATTCGACACATTGCCATTTGATTCCCATGTAAACATCATGCAAATAGTGTTCTTCGACTGAAAAGAAATTCTCATCACCATTCGAATATGCAGGCACATTGATCGATGCGATGCCTTGAATTTGATTGTAAGGTGTAGTTCCATTTTTAATAGCTGCCATTGTCGATCCTATTAAATCAAATACTATTTAAATAAACGTTCTCATGGTTCACAATTTTCAAATTAGAATTCAAGAAAACCTATCAATGACTCACAAGAAAACTATTGCAAAGATACTCTCAGAGTACATGCGTCGTTTCAGAGACACAGCACATAATTTCGTATGTTTTTATTTGAAAAAAAAACTCAATGAAGATCGCAGATTGCCCTTGATAGTATGATTATAGAACAATCGATCTTCAAAATCAGACGTTAACGCAGTATTGAAACCTGAATTTTCAAATTCGATGACATATTTCTGACAAACAACAAGTAACAGTTCACCTCCAGAGTGCTGTTTCTCCTTCTTAGTTTTTACTCACACTGAATCTGGATATGTTTTAGTTCAACAATTGTGAATTATATCACCACGAGTGTCTGCATGCATTTACATTTATAAGCACAACATGACGTTAGCAAGAGGAAGCATTGTAATGGTGACGATGTAAAATGTAGCTGAAAGTATAATCTATGCGCACATTTCTTCCGTCGATGAAAGTTGCTCTGCAGAAACAAGTCAACGCTCGCTCGTGTCTCGCGAACGGCAACAATGTTGCCATATGAAAAACAGCCTGTCATGTAAACAGAAGAAGAAAAACTGGCGTCGTTCTGATGATGAGAGTCATTCGATAGTCGACAGCTAGTTTTGTGTCTCTCGATACAGGACTAAAGCCCGTTTTCCACCATGTGTTATAATACTGAATTAAGCGATCTGAGTAAAATGATGGGAAAAACAAACAAAAACATTATAACAAGAAAAATATATCTTTTGTATAGGAAAGAAGGGAGCGGACACAGAGAAGCATGATGTCGTTGATAGAAGAGTTAAGAGCGAGATTGATGAAGAAAACAATACAAAATGTGAAGATGCATACTGTTTGTTGAATGATTTTCAGTGAGAGAGGACAAAGTTATGAAAATGGAACTAATCGACATCCGCCTTCTCTCTTAATGAGATATTTATTGCAATCAATCATCCTGACAAACTTCAGTCATCGACACTCGTTATTAATGTCGATTCACAATCATATAGAAGCATCTTTCCGTATTTTGTTTTTTATTTTTTGCTCATTCTCATCTTGTTGAATTCCTTCTGGGGTAGAGGAACGAAGAAAGCGGTAGCATGATCGTTCTGTTATGCGNAAAGAAGTCTTATTTTTCAAGACATAACCGAACGATGCGTTCATCATGGTCCTAAACGATCTCTAATAGCTACGAAACTTCAAACTATATTTATTTTGTATAAACGAGCATGCGAAAAACATGCTACAGTCAATAATTTTTTGATTTTTACATGCCTTGTCATACAAGAGACAAAGCAGTCACAGAAATTTTATTTGCTGGTGCAAGAGCTGAGTCTTATGACTTTACAGACGTAATGAAGAAAGTAGTAACAACGATGGCGACGATTATGATTATTATGATAAGCAAGTCGGAAGAAAACAAAAATTTTTCTGTAAAGATTAAAGACGCATTGCTTTCTCTTGCATCATGCCATAGTTAATATATAGTTTACTTTATTTGTTGAAATAAATCAAACATCCACTGTGGTAAGTTTCTTTTCATTGAAAAATTTAAGTTTTGTTACGTATATTTGATCATAAAAAAAAGAATTTTAAAGAGTCAAGTACTGATTGAACAGCATTTCAATCAGACTACGATTTGAAAAGTTTGTGCCATACAATCATATTACAATCCGAAAGTACATTGCGAATTTTTTAGTGAGCATATATCAATTAGAATTCGCGTTCATAAGTCAGTACAGTACGTTTAGCAGGCATGAAAGAACTCGCAAAACAGTTGCCGTAGTTAGCCTTTGTTTTTTGTTTGTACCTTATCTTTGTTTAGTGTACTATCATTAATAATAAACAGAAACCTAATCGAACCCGAATTCTGTCTCTACTCATAAAGACATATCAGCAGATTGAATTGGTTGTGAATGTTCGTAAAGAGGATATCCTGACCAATGTCCACTACAATTGATTCTAGTTCTACTGAAGCTCAACTAAACTAAAGTTACTAATGAAATTTTTTTCTATTTCGACAATCAATGAGCAGTTTTTAGTTATTACGGATTTGAATGTCAATAAATCCGCTATTTTCGCACTGTAGAGACCCAGGTCATTAGAAAACACTCACTCGCACCCTACTCACTCTCGGCATTCGAAGTAATCTAAATTTCAACAAAAAGCTTGTACGTAAAATTATCTTCACATCACATCGCTGATCAAATAGTTACTTTTATACTGAAATCTAAGTTTCTTTGATTCGCGAATAGTCTGTTCATTTTTATTTTTTGTCTGTTTCTAAAGTTTTTTTGCTATTAGCAACAAATAACCGTGGCTTGTACTAATGAGATTCACGACAAACTACATTATTATTAGTCGTATGATTTGGTTTACTTTTTGCTTTTCGTTTTACAAACACTAAATATTTAACGATCATTTTAAATAGGACTTCACCAAATTCAATAACACCAAGTATACTCAAACCAACCCATCTAAAATCATAATGAAATACATTGAAGTAATCAATTGAAAAACAAAAGGACAACTCACATTCCCGTTTGACCACCGATAGAACTGAACAGATCAACTATCAACATTTTGGCCTTCTGATTGTAAACAATGACATAATAATTGCTAGAAGCGATTGTTACTTTTAAAAGATTGTTACTGAGATACATATCCGATTTAAGAGCAAAATCATCAGGTAGCAGAACATTAGAAGAATTCGGTTGCTTATCTAATAGTCTTTTAGTTAACACTGCTTTCTGTTTCGGTGATGGATATGAAAGAGCACTCAATACTGCATGAAAATCAGTATTTTTGCATTCAGGAGTGCATTGTGGACACCATTTTTTGTAACCTGCGTTTTGAACTTTGAATGTTGGCACAGTCGTGAGGGCACATTGTTCTTCAGAAGTATCTGGAATACAAGTATTTGCCGTCTTAAGACTGTTGCTGTCGACAGTCCAGACATTTCGTTGAAAAAAAGGAAACGGTAGAACACAAGAACAGAAAACATCAGTTATTAATTTTAAACAAGACTCTTGACACAAACTTTCTGAATAAGTAACTTTGCCAATAGAATCCTTATCAAATGCTGTCTCATAAATGTCGCGTAATTCATCTCCAACTGAAGATGTGCAATTGGTGTAAGGTTCAGGCAATAAATTTCTTTCAGTTTTTGAAAATAAGATCGTATGAGAGAGACCTGTTTGAAGTCGAAGCCCATCATTAACAATCAATGGAAATTCATTATTTTCGTGTATTGATACGAGTAAACCTTCGTCAAAGTACGATACTGGATAATAAGATTCACGTGGAATATAAAACTGCATTGATAAACCTTCTAATCCAATGTTCAGCGTACTCATGTTTCGAATTGTGAACAAATTCTTCATTTTACCATTCCAGTTGAATGTATAACAATTGCCGAATTGTGACGATAATGAATGAGTAAAGTATGAGGAACAGTCAATACCATTGTAAGAACAACTGATTAATATATCTGATAATTGAAACCCAAGATCGATTAATTCATTTTTTTGATTACGATTGAAAAGATCGACAATAAGTGGCTCAACTAATGTTTCTAGATCGACCGTTGTCGTATTAATTCCCATACGTTTAGCATAAGCCAATAGTGCTGCATTTGTTTTATCCTTTCTCAATGGATTAGCACTGCAAACAGTCACAGCTGGAAAAATCATGTTATATTCAGTTCGAATCTCCATATCAATTTGTGTCGGATAAGACATGTATTGTAGTCCGGATGAAATAACAAAAAATAACATCCAACCAAAAGCAAACACAAAGCTACATATCCAAAGTATTCGATTTGGTGTACTATAAGCTTCAGCAATACATCGAAGTCCATGCGTTGTTGAAGAAGTCAGATAGCTGACAAAGATCGAACGGTAACTTTGTTCGATAAATGAACATTGTTTCGGTTGATTTGCTTCTGTGTTCATTCAGCTAACTGATTTATCTACGTGTATAATTATTCGTTGTGTACACTCAAAAGACAAAAGTATTTTAGAAGATTTTGAATTTTGCAACGAAATCGAAACCTTTTCGAAGTATTGTAAAACCTTGCGAAACCTTCCAAAAGTTTTGATTTCGCTGCAAAATTCGAAACCTTTTTTAAGTTTCGTATCGGACCAATTTATTTTTCAGAGTAGTTGCTTGTTTATTCGTTTGCAGCAATAAAAAGGATAGTATATGAGAAAAAAACCTGCGCAGTGCACGTGAAAAAGAGAAAAAGAGAAAAGAAAGAAATAAAAATTAAGATAGTTTCTTATTTTTGGTGACTTCACAAAGTCTTCATTAAGGGTCTGTTATTTAACATGTTACATAAACATACAAGTATAGTACTTGAAGATATATATATATAAAATTTCCTATGTATCAGATAATCTATTTGAAAATGATTTTGTGTATTTTTCAAGAACTTGTTTTATATTTTATTATTTTTCCATGTTTTCAAAAAATAAATTTGTAGTATTCGACAAGTTTAAAAGACAAATTGTTACTTCGAAGTAGATTTTCGTGTTAATTCATGGTTTTATTTTTATATTAGTCTGCTAATTATCGAGCTTAAACGATAGATCACTAAAATTTGGAAGTAGTAATAATAAAGAAAAAGGCCTTCGTGACATTTTATTATATGTAAATAAGAATATTGTGGGTGTAGGTTTCGAATTTGGATTTGACCACTGAGTCTATCTACAAAGAACATGAATAAAATTGATTGAAATTTTTGTTCAAGAGTATTGTTGCAATAACTTTATAAAAAAAGAAAACTATTTTGAAGCTTTACATTAAACATTCAAAGGATAAGATAAAATAACAATGATTTTAAAAATAATAAAGAGTATTTTCTTCATTATTTGTTAATAAAATAAACTGATGAACACCCTTTTACACTACAAAGTGCATGCAAATGCTTGTTGATTAC